TGAGGGGGAAGAGAAGATACAAAGAAGAGCTTTGAAGGACTACAAACAACAAAAGCAAGCAAAAATAATGTTTTAAAAGAAGTCAGCCACTTCCTGTCAAAGCCCAATTAAAGGTTGTGTAAGAACAGAATGAGTGTTCCTGTATGTGGTTGGAACAATCACTTTCTTGAGCTATGAATCATTCAAGCATTTAAACAGCAGCTAACTCAAAGGATAAATCAGTGTTGTGTCCACCAATAACAGAAAACAAAGCAATTTTAAATATGTATCATAAGGTATTTTTTCTAGCAGCATGCCACAAAACATAATTTAGCCCAATTTGTTGAGTTGAATCTCTGAAAAATGGCAAATATAACATAGTTTGATAGGCATTAAATAACAATGTGATTCTCACAGAGTTATTAGCTGAAAACCTGGATTATATCAGCATGGTGTGCAGTACGTTCTCAAAGAATTTGAGGAAACCTGAAAAGTGGAGGACAAAAAGAAGTGGCAGGCCTAAAAAAGTATCTACAAGACATAAGCAGCATCTCAAAGCCAGGTCTTTAAGAAATAGGAAAGAAAGACCTGAAAGGCCTGAGATAGGACCTGAGAGGTGCATATGATCAATCAGATATACTGTTCCCTAAAGCCTCATCAGAAACGTTCGCAATGGAAGAGCGGCTGTCAAGAAGCAATTTCTAAACAAGGTAAACAGGGACATTATTGTTAGTATGTATGGAGGAGGTCAGGAGAGCAGTACAGCAGTGAGTGCTTACAACCTTCTGTAAAACACAGTGAAGGCTCTGTGATGATCGGGTCTGCATTTCAGCTAGACTCCTTGAATTATGAACCCAGAAAAGTTACATTACATTACATGTAAAACCATCTAGAAAGCATCTGATTGGCAAGGGGTTTGTTTTCTTTTTAGAAATAGCAATAATCCCAAACACACTGCCAATGTATTAAAAGGTTATCTGTATAGAAAAACACACAATCGAACACTGTCAGTCTTGGACTGGCCTCCTTGGGGCCTGGGCCTTATTAATATTGAGATTGCATTATGAGATCATCTTAAAAGACAACAAAACCAAAGATCTTTGAATGTCTTCAAGAAGTCTGGAGAACTATTCCTAAAATCTCCTTAAAGAATAACAAGAAAGCTGCCTAAGAGAGCTCAGGCTGTGTTGGTAAGAATAAATGTGATCACATCAGATATTTTCAAGATCATTCAAATTATGCAAAGTCTGTTTTTGCTTTTTATGCTGTACTTTCATGTTTGTTTGCACATAATTTAATAACTAAAAATAAACTAACGCACCGATTTCCTATTTTCCGAGCAAATATATAAAGAAATGTGGGGTGGCCCATTTTTGCACAGTACTGTACATCCAGCGCTCAGCTAAGACTGTGTAGTACATTCATGGTGCTTCTCTGCCACTCCAGGGTAAATTAACTTTTTATATCCATTGTTATCACTTGTTTTAATGATCTGTCAGGTGGTGCTAATAAAAAAAACAAGTTGCACTGCAGAGTTGGAAACAATTGCTTTGAATTATTCCCTGTGGCTTTCAGTTTCTCTTCTCAGCTAACAGTAGCTCCTGATGTGTGCCGTTTCTCCAAATCTCATTTCAAGTGTCGAGAAAAAGACAACCTGCAAGTTTTGAGCAGAGCACTTGAGCAAAACTTGGACTATCTGCACCACAGTTAAGTCTTTGTTTGATAAAGACACAATTTTTTTAGTTTTCCCTTGATACACCAAAGTGGAGTAATTTAATACACGCTTGAGATACTCGGTTAGGTTTGGTTTGCAGTGTGCTTTGGATCATTATCCATTATTGCACTGTGATGGACTGTGCAATTAGTTTTGCCACATTTGGCTGAATCTGAACAGAGAGTATAGGCCTGTCCACCTTAGAATTCCTTCTACCTCTACTATCAGCACTCCCATCGACAATAAACATCAGTGACCCCAAGTTGTCTTTTGTGGTATTTCAAGCCTGTTGGTGTTGCTGAGCTGGTCAGTGCACCCTTTATAAGAATATATCAGCCATCCAGATTTTAAAACTCCTAAAGATTTTCCTATCACTTCTTTAGATTTACTTTTGTTTATCAGCCTTATTAGGTGTCATATTTGAAATTACAAGAAAAAGCTACAAAATACAAATCTGAAGCTTTAAATCAAGTTCAGATATTTTGTCAAATTCATCTGTCATGTAAAGTCAAAGGAACTGGTCTCACCTGCCTATGAAACCACTTGTCAATCAACTGCTAATCAATTTTGAGCCTCTGAAAAAAAGTCTACTTGACACAGTGTACTGTGAAAATCCTCCCTGCCATCATTAGCCACTCATGACATTTGCTTGCGACACTTGCACAAGTCCAAGTACTCAAACCTTAATGTCAACTACTCAAACTTCAGAGAACATCGTGACCCAGTTCTGGACCAGGTTTAAAGGGCAGCTAGCCTTGGGATAAGCTCAACAGAAGGAACATACTATTCTATTGGCTGTTTTTCTTGGTAGGAGAGGTACTTCCAAAAACAACAGCCATGCAGGATTGGAGTGCTTTATAATGTTTCTTTATATTTCGTCCAACTTAAAAGAAGTCATTTAACACGTGAGAAAATTACACCAAATAGTAAAAAAATTGAATATAATAATAATCTCTCCATGATCTCTGTGATAAGACGCACTGATCACTTATTTGTTTGCTTGTTTTAGTTTCTGTTTTAGTTTCTTGTTTACCTGTTCAAGTGCATGAGCCTTTTATTATCTCATAACCTTACTTCACTTCTTTGCTGTTCATTCATGATCAATGTATTACCTATAAACAAGGCAACCAGTGATGGTATAGATCAAAAATAAAGCAAGCTGCACACGCAATTTCTCATTGTTTGTGGGCAATTTGTATTCTTATCTTCATTTAAAGTGGAAGGTGATTCATTGATTCGTAGGAACACATATTTATGTTGCATTCAGTATGTCCATGTTGTTGAATCACATATTAATAGAGATTTTCTTGCAGTATTTTGTCTGGATATTGCTAAGACACATGCTCTCTTTAAAGGTAGTTAATCTGTGATCTCACCTGCGCTATCATGTCTTCGGAGCCTCGTATGTTCAAGCTGGGGAAGCTCCATTCTGTGCAACACTCCAACAAAACAACCAACAGACCATCAGCACAATCAACAGACAGAATTATATGGTCAGTGGCAACAGGATTACTGCTCTTTTTAAAGAACCCGAACAGAGTGCCAAAGTATTTTCAGCTCACCCCCACTCCCACTCTTCAGAGTCCTCAACATGCTGACATATGATAGCAGCACACTGGGCTTGTCCTTTGCCGTTTGCCAGGGCCAGAGTTCACAACAAACATAATGAAAGGGGAAGCAGCACTCAGAGGATGCATCATAATAAGTGCAAAGGTCTTTGAGATGGTAGTTGCTGTTTTGCAAATGACGATATGGCAGCATTCATGTTGAATTGCTATCTCTTATCATGCACGTCTGATTTAAAGTACATCAGGGAGATCATTGTCATCGACTGTGTGATATATGTTCGGCCTCACTAGGCTTGTTGGGCCACTGGAAGCAGTGGGATAATGTGTTATTTATATAAAAGCCAGACTTAAACATGAGATAAGTCTTTAAAGCCTACCCGATATTATATTATCTAATTTTCTAGCCATCCATCAATACATTTTCTTCCACTTATACAGGGCAGGGTTGCGGGGGCAGCAGCATAGGAGCCCAGACATCCCTACAACCTCCTCTAGCTTGTCCAGGGGAAAACCAAGAAATTCACACGGCAGCCAAGAGATATAATCTCTCCGGCTTGTCCTGTGTCTCCCCCCGAAACACCACACAGGAGGTGCCCAGAATTCTTTCGAGGCAGTCCGAAAGACTTTTTCCATGTCCCAGTTGTGATCTCGGTAACAGGGGATTGGTCTCCCCATGGCTGCCACCCAATAAGCATTGCACCCAGCCCCTATGGCACCTCCTGTGGGTGTTGGACCTACAGGAGGGTGGGCCCATGTTTTTCTGGCTGTGCCTTGCCTGGCCACATGGACTAAGGCCTAGGCACCCTAAGCCTGGCTCCAGGGTGGGGTCCCGGTAGGGGTGAACAGTTCCCTCGATCTTCTTGTCACAGGGGCTTTTGAACTGTCTAGCAACTAGAAAAAGGGCGCAGAGTAAACACATAGAGACAGACAACCATACACACCTACGGTCCATTTAAAATCACTAATTAACCTAATGCTGTGCATGTCTTTGGTTGGAGGGAAGAAGCCTGAGTACCCAGAGAAGCCACACAGACCCAGGGAAGTGGCTGATGGCCACTCCACTCCTAAATTAGTACCTGTTGTTAGCAAAACCCTGATATGTGCTGTCAGGTGTTCATGGAGAGCTGCTAGCATCTTCAGCCAGTAGGTGTGAGTTATGCCAGGTCCTTGTCCAGCTCTTCATACCAGAGACCCATTGCTTGTCTGCTTTTGTGTTGCTGAGTAGTTCTTCATGTAGGAGGTTGCTGTGGTCTGCTCTTAGGTCCATTTACATTTTAGGCCATATTATTTCCTTGATACAGACCTCCCCCTTGCCCCACCCCACACACACACACAAAAAAGAAAAACACTTTAAACTGTATTTCACACCTGAGAGCTTATGAACCCATGAGAAACAGCACATAGATGTTTGTGGCTTTGTCCACAAGCTTCTCTCAGTAACCCCATGTCACAGAGTGTGGTTTACAGGAAGTGTAACTGAAGTTTCCTCATATCTACTTTACATTTACAGAAAACAGCAAATTGTAAAAACACAAATGTAATCAGAATAATGTGAATAACATATTGTTGTGTTTAAACTGTCATTCTATCATGTCATTTATTATTAATTATTGTCAATTCCAGTTCAGTGTAAACTTCCTTTGCGGTGCCAACATTTATGTATTGTCACAATATTTATGTATGCCTGGATTTCCTCATCCTGATCAGACATCTAATGAGAAATTTACAGAAGACACACACTAATGGGCCTTCCCACGCACCAAGTTGTCATACTGGCTAAAGATGAGAGTTATGAGTAGAACTGGCACACCATGATAAATATCATGGTACATGCAAAACCATTTACCATGTTAAAAAACTTTGCTTTTAGGTTGGCCGATTATATAATTCGGAGGTCTTTTGCCAACATGTTACTCAGCAGGATCCCAGCGGTCATGCATTCATGTTTCTGTCCACCTGTCAAACGTTCCTAGGGCCAGTCCTTGAATAATCACTCAGCACCTCCTGTTTTAAACTTTTGTATTTTGATAAAAGGATCATCTACCCATAAACCTTTGGTAATGTAGTAATGTAGTGTATTACTGTGGGTTCCATGTGTACATATTTCTACAGTAGAACCACAGCAACGTCTCTGTGGGCTGTTTTATATTGTTTATAAAGTGCATTGCAGACCATGTTGCAGACTCATGTAAAGATTCATAGTGAAACTGATTCTCACTTCTAGCCGTGACTGTGAGCACGTATTCAAACCAAGGAAAATATATGTCAGAGCTGCTTGTGCAAAAGAACTGATGGCCTGATTGCAAGATGAGTCGATGTATAATTTTAAATGTCAGACTGAAGTTGTTCACTTTTTCTTACTTTGGTCTTTTTGATCAGTATATACAAAAGTAAATAAAAAAACATTCTGAAATTAACCAGAGCGATCAACAAATATGGAAAAACAACCCAGCGTCTGTGATGTAATCTCTAAAACGTCCATGTATTGGAGTCATTAAGATTGTGAGTGCATTGAACATGACCACTATGATGAGAAAATAAGGTGGACAGCAAAGAGCAGAGAGAGAGAGAGAGAGGGAAAGGGAGTGAGAGCAAGACAGAGACACAAACTTGACACTAGTAAACAGACAAAACTGACTACACACAGGTGAAACTGGAGAAGACGCAAAGAGGAGAGACTAAGACTGATTGGACATGACCTTATTAATTTGTGGTCACATATTCTGTAGCATATACTGATAAACTGCATTTATCAAACAATTTTAGTTCCTAAATAAGTTTTGGTTTTTTTTGCTTTGATTGGTTTTGCTTGTTTGTTTTAAAAAAAAATAAAAAATTTTCCCCCCTCGCCTATCACGTTTGGTTTTTACCATCAGAATTATTCTCTAAAGGCAAAGAAAGATGCCCAACTTTTTTTCACAGCTTCATATTTAGCCCACCATTTCAAATCAAGATATTAATCTATGTGAATTGATTATAGTTCAGTCAAGCTTCTGTGTAACTTACTTTGTGTCAGTAATGTCTGCTGTTGTATTCCAGGCCAAAGGTTTATAATATTGTTTACTATGGGTCAACCAGGACAAGTGATGGATGGAATTTTACTTTGGTCATCAAAATCCTAGACAGGGACGAGGACCAAAGTTAGAAAGTATTGCTATCAAGTAGGACAATATATTACTTAAAACGTATTTAATTTTGTAGGCCGTGGGACAGATTTACAACAAAATGCTGAGCTAGGGTGAAGGAGTGTTGTAGGCCTAATAACCAAATAATACAGTGTAAGCTCACATTTTATTCATGTGTTTCTCTCTGAAATGCAGATTAAAGAACTGCCACTGACGAGAATAAATAAATTTTTGATTTAAGGGATATATTTTCTGATGCCAGTCACTGGGCACTGTGTATGAGGTCGTGATGACTGATATGCAGGTGCAAAAGAAGATTTGTCTATAGGACAGCTGCATTATAATGGCACAGTGAACTACGCAGATCTACTCGGCCTGGGGGAGCTCCCCTCCACCTCTTTACAGGTCCCATGTCGTTAGGTTTTTACTGCTGTCCACTCACTCAAAAAAAAAACCAAAAACGTCCTTAGCAGACCTTCCTTCTTCCAGTAGTTGCGTGAATACCTCATCCCACGTTACCACCTTCAACAAATCTCTCCCATTTCCTCCAGTTTTTATGAAATTGGTCCATTTTAAGGTAAAAAAAAAAAGTACGTTTTTCCATTCTATATATTTCCTCCATTATTCCTATCCAATCTTTCTTTGTTGGGGGCACTTTCTCCAGGATGTTTATCAAGTATTTGTCCTTTAAGGAGGCTGCTGATGGGATATCGCCCAAGTACACAGTACAAAAATCCAAATTTAGTTTGAGACCAGTCACCAAGTAAATTGATTCGACCAATTCACTCCAGTATGACAGGATTACTGGGCATTTCCAAAACATATGGAAATGATCTGCCATGTTTTCCCCACAGTTTCTCCAGCAGTGTCCATCTGTCAGTTGACCTTTTTGTTTGTATTTTATTTTGGGTGTTATAAAAAACCTAATAAAATTTTTCCACGTGAATTCCCTCCAATAACCCGAGCTAGTAGTTTCCATCTGTGTCCTGCATACTGTATATTTAACCAACTGTCCTCTGATGTGTTGATTTTAGCCTCCGTTTCCCATTTAATTTTGATATAATTGGTTGATTGATCCTTAAGTGATTGTAAGTTCTGATAAAGTTTAGCAATCAATTTGTTTTTAATCTGACCTTTATAAGCTTCTTTTATAACGGGGACTAGGCCTTCATCACGTTCTTCTATAGTTTTTATATTACTATTGAAATAGGACATAACTTGGAGATATCTGAAAAAATCTTGGTTTTCCAAACCATAGGTGTCTCTTAATTTTTCAAAACTTTGTAATCCTTCTTTTCCTAACAATGAGCAAAATGGTCCGATCCCCCTTGTTAACCAAGTTGTATAACGTCTATCTATTTGTGCAGGGATAAATTCCTTATCATGTGTGACCCATCTGAGTTGTTTGAGACCAGCTCCTAATTTAAGACTTTCACATTCATCAAACCATATCTTTAAAGGAGTTTTAGTCCATTCATTTAGATTATTTTTCTGTTCCAAATATAATTTTTTATCTCCTAATATTGTTTGTAGTGGTAATTTTAATTGTGTCACATCTAAATATTTCCATTTTGCTTCATACGTTGGATCACACCAATAAATTTAATATCTTAATTGTGTTTGCTTTAAAATAACTTTCTAAGTTTGGGAGGGAATGTCCACCTCTTTCCTTAGGTAGTTGCAATGTTATATATCTAACTCTTGGTTTGCAGCCTTTCCATATAAATCCCGAAATCATTCTGTTCCATAACGCAAATTGTTTGGCTGGTACGTGTACCGGTATAGATTGAAAAAGGAAAAGCAGTGGTGGAAGTATATTCATTTTGATCAGGTCAATCCTATTATACAGATCAAGTTCCACCTTTGAATGTTTTCTTTCAATTCCCTTATAATTGGTGAATAGTTTATTTCATAGATTTCTGTCAGTGTTTTAGGAATCTTAATACCTAGATATTTAATTATTTTATTATTCCAATTAAATTTAGACATACTTTTGATCTTTGTTGTGGGTACGTAATTGTATGTGATCACCTGTGTTTTTTGTATGTTTATTTTATA